GTGAATGTCATTTCCGGTACCCTTGCTATTCCTACTGCCAGACGCACGAAAGGGCCACATTTGCCATTTTTGTCTTTTCGTTCCTGCGCAGAAGTCCGCCTAGGCATTGTTTGAAATGTGTCGTCCTGTTAAGGTTAAACACGAGACCATACCGCAACGAACTTATGGGGCAGCTGAGCATTACTATACACCCACAGAGGGCCAGCCGAAGTATTTTTCTATTAATATGATCTGAAACTGTTTTCGCAAGATAACCGCACTACATTTGGACGCCAAGCCGTCACTCGGTAATTTTAACATATATTTTGCAACGGAAACCGTACCATTGTCATGTTTGAATGCCCATCCATTACTGGGTACCGCCAAGCTATCATTGTGAATACGAAATCGTACCATAGACACGTTTGGGTGCCAATCCTTCGCTATTAGTATAGCAGGCAAAGCATGTCACTGTCAGATGTTATATTGTTCTGCAACGCGTTGTCGGGAGTGGAAGTGGTCTGCAATGTTTAAAGTAAACGCCTGAACCAACTGGAGGGCAGAGAGACACTCTGTTAGCACACATTCTTGTGTAAGGGTAGTTAAGGCAGTAAATGATTCCAGGAGTGTCCCTGCGTATTTCAGACACAGGGCGTGCTTTGTGTGCTTTCCTTTGCCTTACGCGCCGGTGGCAAGACTCATTTACACGACGGCAGCATACAAGACTTACTCGACGATGACAGGTTGAGTGACTTTCTCAGGTACTCCTAACTGGGACAGAGGCCGTATCCACCGGTCAGAATAATCTGGGAGATTAGTCGCTGAGGTGCCGTTTGGTTCGAGGCATTTGAAGCCAGAATCTCCATTTTGCAGACTGTCTTGTGCTCTCCCTCCGTTTCTGTCCGAAGACTTAACCCACCTGGGCCTCTGGGAGGCTTCTGTACCAGACCTTTGTTTGTTTGGTCTTGGGTTCTGGTAGCTAAACGTCCCCCTGAACTCAGATGTGTACGACGAGGTATCTGACGCAAGACACTGTCAGCTATCACAAGTACTCAACGAGCCAGCGCAGAGCCCGTGTCACCACTTTAATCCGACCTAGACGTGATCAACTAACCCGCATACTCTCCTTGCTTTTGTTTTAGACCATTTAAGCATAAGCTGAACAAGGAGCTGCTTTACCCTCAATGCAATTCTGACTGCGCCTGTAACATAAATGCGTGGACGCTGGTCTGTCACCGCAAGTCGGGCATCACTTTCCCATCGCCTTGCTCGGCCGGCTGCTCCTCCGGACCGTTCACCGTGCAACAGGAGGTAATTTCACTGTTGTGACATGGACTGTTTTGTCGGTGTGAACTTTTATGGCGATCGGCAGGGGGGGTGGGAGGGGGAATATAAAGCCTCCAAAGATGAAGGGGACGTGTGAGGCTTCTTTTGGGTTCGAAGTTTTGGGCAGTGATTTCGGCGACCCATATCAGAGACTGAAGCCTCCTCTACACAGGTCTTATTACCTGGCGTATTCCTATCCAGGAGAAGCCGATAGTTGTCGTCAGTGCATTTGTGAAAAGTATAATAACATGCCAGAAATCAGTTTACGACTACAAGAGTGAGCACATGAACCCGTACTGTGCAGATGGGACGCATCTTAAACAGTGGGGCCGTTGAGATTGTAAACCGAGGCGATTGTCAACCTTTAAGGCAGGTGAAAGGAGACATGGCCGTCTGCCTACTGTTTAGTCAACCTTGGTATTAACTTGACCTCCCCCTCCCTCCAGTTTCATGACGAGGAGACAGTAACCGTGTGTATGTGTGTGTGAAACAGTCGAACAAACTATGTGACTGGCTAGCACTTCTCTTTGCCTGACCAGTCTGAACAGAACAACTTTTAGAGGACCTACCCAATGGCTGTAATGAGTTGTTTTTGCTAATGTTACGCCTTCGGATCAGGTGAATTCACCAATACAGGTCGCCCTTTAATAATTGTCAAAAATGCACGAAAAAATAGGTTCCTTCATCTTTTTATTATTAACAAAG